TATATATATATATATATATTATATCTATATTGAAGATGTTTTGTTTTATCTTTTTGTTTAAATGACATCTTTGTCTGTGTGACATGTGTGTTTAATATTATAATTTGTTAATTCTTTATTTTTACTCTCGTTTTTTCTCATCGTTCTCTTTTTTTTTTTTTAGCTTTTCATAGTATATACGCCACGGAGATGAGAATTGTATATAGAGAGTGTGTTCCGAAGTATTCTCTGTTGATACCGATCGTTATGTAAAGATGGCGAGGTGAGAGGAAAAGGATTTTGTTATATACGGCCATGTTGAACGATCAGATTTAAGCGCGAATCCAGCAGATTCTTCTCCGTGTCACCCGGGTGCGAGATGTCATCGTGTGTTTTAGGAAATCACACGAAGGAAAGTCATTTGGGTTTCTGACCGACTGGTGAATTAAAAAGTACGTCGCCAATTCGCGGGAAAACCTAGAGAAGACTACTGTCCGAAAACAATGCGATCCGCGTCGAAGCAACTGCCGTCGCCATATTGATCGATCGCGTCCGTTTCAATGGGGACACGTCATTCTCCTCTCTCCTCGAGTTTCATTCGCACGAAAATGAGAGCCTCTCCGACTACGGTTGGGTTCGGGGAACGCGCTATCAGCGCTGTTGCATCATTCTATCTTTATTGCTCGTTAGATGTAAAACAAAGATGAAACGAATGACGCAATATAGCGCTGATAGCGTGCAAGTCCTCGAACGCAGTCTATATGTATTCTCATCTTCATGATGGGAACGCGGCCATTGTTGAATTCAATGAATGAATGAACGAAGAGTCGCGGTATCGACTTGGTGTAGTAAAAATTTTCCACACAAACAAAGTTTCGCCGTGTGTGATATTGTTTTTTTTTTTTTTTTTTTTTTTTTGTTCTTTCAATATGCAAAGAATAAAATACACAAATCGTAATTTTAATTATTAACGTGGCCGTCAATAACGAATCAATGGATTTCGACAGATTTGGTAAGATGGCACAGTGGAGCGTGGATCGCAGAGACATGGAAAATATGCGTATCACTAAGGACGGCGAGAACGCGATGAAGGTCGTTATAGAGGGCGAGGAGAGAATCGCGCGTCTGGGTTATGATTCGCCGCCTCCCGGTCATTATCCCGAATCGCTTCTTGCGCAAGGACCGAGAGGTTTCGAGTGCTGGGACGACGTGCGCGTTCGGTACGATTATTACAAGGCGCGTGGGTATCTTCGAGACCTGACGATCGATGATTACATCAAGTGGGAAGAATGGTGGTACAAGTATCAGGAGTGGCTTGAGGCCGAACGTTTCTATGAGCAATGGGCATCGTCAAATCGATCGTCCGGGAGCAGTCGAAAAAGGCGAGGGCGACGCAACAATTCTTCTCATTAAAACCACTTTCTATGTGAATCTACGATTTCTTTTTTTTTTCTTTTTTTTTTTTCTTTCTTTTTTTGACCCATCAACAAGATATCACACATGTGCGCGCACACGCGCACACGCACACACACACACATACAAACACACAAACACAGATATAATATATATGTAGGTATCTTATATATGTGCTTATATAGAGTATATATATATATTATACGTATGTACAATAAGTATTCTATATTCATTATGTAATAAAAAACGTGTGACTATGCTAAACAAAAAGTTAAAAAATATATTAAACTATTTCGGATATTCCGTGACGTATATATATACAGAGTGTCCCAGAAAAAACAAAACATCTTCAATATATATATAATATATATATAATATATATATATATATATATATATATAAATTGCCGTACAATTGCTCGTAGGCAGGTAGAAGGAGTAAAACTGAGTCGAAAAGTCCTGAACCATTTTTTTCTATTATTTATAATAAAGGAGTAATTATTGAGTAAATCAGGCCAATCAGCGCAGACCTTTAGCCAGACGCACGTCAGTGAGCCGCGCGCCTGGTGTGTGTGAGCGCTCACTAACGTGTGCTAAAGGTCTGCGCTGATTGGCCTGATTTACTCAATAATTACTCCTTTATTATAAATAATAGAAAAAAATGGTTCAGGACTTTTCGACTCAGTTTTACTCCTTCTACCTGCCTACGAGAGATTGTACGGCAATTTATATATA